GCCATAGCCCAGATCATTGCCAATATGATCAGCCAAAGAGGCTTGGGCGGCAAGGGTAAAGCGCAAGAGGGCGGGTACAACGCTACAGGACCTGCAGAACAACAAGACGATGCCGATTCCGATGGGGTTTCTGGGGGCTCAGGCGATGTATGTGAAGATATGGCAGCCGGTGCACATGGAGCTCGCCCTGTTGCGACAGGCAAGCCGATTGCAAAGCCGAAGGCCAAGAAGTCCAAGAAAAAGGCCAAGAACTAAGTTCTTGAGCTCTTGAGTCCAATCAGTGTGCGGGTTCCGAAACCACGCGTGGGTTGGCAAGATGCCAGGTCTGTCCAGACAGCAAGAAAATTGCCAAAAGAGTCACTTAGCACATGCATGTTGATGATTCTGGTGATTTGCTCTGCTTTGCGAAGCAATTACTCTGACTGGCGGGAGTTTCTGGGTGATTCAGCGCGCGCAAGTTTTGACAGTTTTCCTTCAGCGTTTCATACAGGGTTTGCCAAGCTTTGCAGATTTGTTGCGATTAGCATCATTAGCATTTTTTCTGGATCAGCAGCGTGATCATGCCAATGCTTCCTCCAAAGCTATGGCACAAGAAGAAGAAGAAGACCCCGGATGCTGTGCAATCGCCAGTTATGCTGCAGAGGCAGCTGTCCAGCAGGGTGCCGATCCGCAAGCTGCAGCTACACATCGCCTATCTTCGCCGCAGTGCCTCTTGCACGCATTTAGCACACGCAGGAGAATTTGGAGAACTTATGTTTGAGAGTTCCATCCAGGAATGGCTGAGCGCACGCGCGCTGGCCAAAGAACTTGAGCGGGTCCTTCGGAGAAGGAATGGCAGACCTTCGACAAGTTCAGGTTCTGACTGAGCGGTGCGATGTGCAACCTAATTCAACTATAGCTTGCTTGAATACAAGCAGAGTCCCCATGTGCATGTGCAAAACATGCTATGCGCACAAATGTGGGAGGAAGGATGGTAGCAATTTTCTTAGCATGTTGATGAACTATATCGATGCACTTTTCCCTGGCCATGTTTCTGAGAGTTTCTTGAGAGATCCCATGAGCCGTTTTTTTCGGGCCTTCCAATCTTGTGTTTCAGAAGTGAGACATATACTTTCCGTAAACTGTTTGAAAAAGTTTGGAGAGTTCCAACAAAACACATGAACAAACATATCAAACTTTATGGGTAGATCCTAAAATCATACTTTCAAAATAGACTAAAACTAAGACCTTTTTCGTCTATCACAAAATAGTACATTTCTTAAAATAGACCAAGAGATATCTTATCAGCGAATAGACTAAGAGGAGCCTAGGGGTTGTGTTGTATTAAAAGGTAAGAAGCCCCCGTACCGCGCACGGTATGATTGAACATAGCCTTCCTACTTAGCTCAACGTTCCACTGAAACAGGACTCAGCACCCTTAACAGTAAACTTGTGCGTTGAAGCTCTTGTTCGCGCAAATCTGCACTAAACTCTGCCACTCCCATCACCCTGACACAGGCTTCAGATGATACAAAACGCCAGGCATCCTTGAGTCTGGGTTGAAATGAGGCCCAACATGGGCCCACAATTCACTCAACATAGCTTCAACTTAGCCTCCAAATGGGTTCAGCGCGTCCAACAGAAGTTTGTCGAATATTCGGGTAAGTCACGTCATGGGGACACACGCGCAAAACCTTCAAGATAAGTATGAATGGTCTGCTCTCAGAATGCAATCCCCCCATGACAAAGGCTGGTTTTTTTCTCCAAACCATGTGTATATCACGCTGCGCCGGCAGCTGCCATCACTTCCATTGGGGATGGTACCTGATATAACATGATGAGAGTCAGGGAAGAAAAGCAACAATACAATACAACTTATCTATTTGATCATGTCTGTCATGACCCTTGCATTTTTCATCAATGGATTTGGGTCCAATTCATTGGACCTTGCAAACCACAAAATCCTTACAAACAAGGCCATCACCGGCACAACAGCGTCGAAATCATTATTTTCGGCGCTGCCACGATAACGCTACTTTTTTCGATGCGGCCAGGACCACTGCGGGAATGCGACCTTGGATTTCCGGTCAGAAGGTCCTGGTGGTACCTATTTCAGTCTATCCTTTGTCATGTTCACCATCCACCAGCTAACAAACCCGGACACACACTCCACAGCTGTGCGTGTCTTCTGTAATATGTATGTTGTAGCAATGGCAGTCGTTAGCCGGTGCCATCCCAAAACTAGAGAACCACAACGAAGACCCAAACGTGCATGTTCAGGGGGATTCAGCCCCATGTTGCATCTGTTTAAATATGTTTCAAAAATCCGGCGATCGGTCCCAATCCCGAACCCCAAATCCATGGGGGAAAAAAGATGGAAAAAGGATCACTTAGGACATCCCTGCGGACGAACTCCCAGTCCCTGCGGTCAACTTCCACCCTCGGAAGACCCTCAGAATACCGACTAACATCCATGGCATCCATGGCATCTCCAGATCTCCTCCTCTTCGCTATCCATGCCGACCAATGGCTCAGCTCACAGCTGTGAGCCCAAGAAGCAATGGCCATGATGATCATGACGGGATGTGCAAATCTTCGGGTAACTACTATAGCCTATAGCCATAAACAACGGCTGCTGTGGAACGCAGACCATAAACATGCTACCTCCACGTACATGGCAGCACATGAAGCGGCAATCAAAGATTTCTGCTGCTATAAACTGCATCTTCAGCCATCGGCACATATCTGCTCAATCCGATCCAACATTGCCATCAGAATTCGTCTGCGGAAAGCGTCTTCGGGGTCTAATTCGTCTTCGGGGTCTAATTCATCTTCGGAGAATTCGTCTGCGGAAAGCGTCTTCGGGGTCTAATTCGT